CATTTTGGTAATCAAACATGACCAAGTCATATGACTTGAAGTACCTGGCCATGTAAAAAACATGAGGTATATGAACAGTATATAGAATATGGCATCCTCTTGTACTTGAAGTGTAGATAAAATGCAATTTGTTTCGACCCTTCTTTCTTAGGTAAATATGAGCTATGTCCATATTCCGTTTTGTAATTCTGTCTGACAGAAATCCTTCAGCTTTTTAGTTCGTTTAGTGAGATAGACGTCATCCTCTCATGCAATTTTTACGGATTGTTACTGATCGTGTGTCCTCTGATTTCTGCATCTGAAATTGTAATCAAGACATGTTTTGCGTAGTCAAAAATGTTTCACCAGCCTCAGCTAGCTTTGAGTAGAGAACCGATCAGTTTCTGGATTCAAGAGGAATCTACACTGCCAGCACATCAGCTCAAAATTAGGCATTTCACCTCATTTTCTGTGCCATAGGACCATATACTTCGGTACTTCATTGTCACGACTGTTAAATGAAGAAGACGTTCCATTAAAATTCCATAGTAAGTGTGAAATTCTCATTTGTACTCTTAGTGCGTTTAAGGTATTTGTTTAACGCCTTAAATCGATTTTAGAGTATTTGAACACGTATCCTTGTACTTCGATAAGTACGCTCATTCCATTCCGCTGACCTTTGTACTTGGCTTCTACGTCTCATTGATCATTGGCAGATGGTGGAAAATATTTCAAAGTTTTGCGTGGCCCGATAAGTAAGTTTTTCTCGGTTAACCGCTCGTCTACCTTTTTTATTCTTTTCGGATGTGCTACTGTGTAGTAGGGAAAGCAGGTATGAATGCGACAACAGATGGAAGTCTTCATTCAGATTTCCATCTTTAGGCTTTACCGTCACCGAAGACACATGCATTGCTGTAATTTGCTAGTAACGACACTGATTATAGCTGGAGATATGCTACAATCCTAGTTTAATGGCAGTTATTCTGTACGAGTACTATCAAAACAACCGGTAAGATTATGAAAATATTTCCGATGCCTGCCTTAATGCTAATGTTATATTACGATAACATTACAGTTTTAAAAATGGAAGGGATTTGTATTCTATGTGAGATTGTAGATCTTGCGAGTTAATTTTTAGTGTATGACATCGTCGCATGCAAATTTGATTTACGCAGTTACCAACTCTTCGAGTCATACAGTACGCATTTTCAAGGAAACAGTGAAAGGTGTGGTAAAGCGCGAGTTATCGATCAGGTCACTTTTCAGAAGTACACGGTAAAGCAGTCGACGATTGGCATAGGCCAATGGCTGTCCAGATGACTGTGACGTTTGTAGCTTTGATTCGATTCAAACAGCTGCATCTCTGGATTATAAGCGAGCGTCTTTTTAATCTTTAGATGTTTAAAGTCTGTTTCTTGGTAGACACTCTTCATCCGTTGCCAGTCAATTATATGACTGTCTGCGTGTTGACACAATCGCTGTATCGTTTTGGCTTCAGCTTTCATAAGTTTG